AAGACGCCCAAATTATTTTTTTGGCTCAGAAAAGGACCCCCCCCCCAAATCCAATCCGGAAATAATCACGCCGTAAAAGACTCAGCCTGATTATATTTTGTTTTCTTATATTTTATCGCTCTGCTAACCCTTGGGGTCCATTTTATTTTGGTATACCTTTTCTAGGTACGTTAGCCTGTGCCCGCGGAAATTGACCAAGTCAAGTGCTGGATTAGTACGGAGAGATTGAGACAGAAGGAGGTACTGGATAGAGAGACCGGGATGGTTTTTAATGTGAAGACAACAANAAGCTTTATAAGAAGAGTATTTTTTGTTCTAAATAATGTTTTTTTCTCAGTGATCAGGATCGCCTGTTTTTACTGCTTTGTACCTTGTCGATCGGTTCGTCAGCTGATGGCGGTGCCGATTCGGATATCGGCGGTGCGGCCAGACTATTCGGCTTTGGCCATATTGTATTGCGTCTGGCAATTGCGGGCCCGGTTCACAAAAGAGAGCGAGGGACTGACCAATGTGAGCACCATAACCCTCCTCTCCCAAGGCGCCGGACGTAGTATGTGCCAATGCAGGCACCTGCTTTGGGGAGGAGGCGGAACCTGCTTGTATGATTCGCATGACCCAACCGTTTACTCTTGCTCCTGTGACAACGGTTTCTCTCCAAGAGACGCGTTTGGGAATGCCAGTTGTGTGCCGCAGCGAGTGCTTGTCTCGGGCTACGTCGTGTTGACGATCTTGTCAGTGCTGGTTGCGTCCCCACTCTTATGGCATGCGAATGCGTATCGTCATCTCTCGGAGGCGGCTCGGACCTCGCGCAAGACGGCCATTAGGATGAGAGTGCTCCTTTCAGCGAGGTTTGTGCGGGTGGACCCAACCCAATCCCCCTCTTTGTGGTATTGAATGATTTGTTGCTTTTAACGTCATTCTGCATCGTCGCCACTGCAGCGCAGCACGCTGACGTATGAACACGCACCTCCGAGTACGCTTGCATTGGTCTGAGTTGGTCCCCACGCTGAAGAGAAGTAGGCGAAGTGAGAGGGTGTGTGACGTTCGTTGTGAAGAAACCAGACCCAGAAAACTCTTGCACCATTTAAGGGAATGAGATTTTACTCGCATTGCCCATTGACTGTCTGGACTTACTCTACAGACAGGCTGAAATTGTCCCCCCCCCCATGAATTGTCCCCCCCCAATTTGTGGCCGAAATGGGCAAAAAAAACGCTGAGTTATCCCGCACACTTTTTTTTTTTTCAAGATCTATCCCCTACCGTAGAGATATCCCCGGAGACATATTTTCCTGAGCATATAAAAAACGTGTCCCCACGGGAGATTTGCGACTAGAAACGCGTCCCCGGGGGAAGAGTGCATGGAAATCGGTTGTGTGCTTTGTTGTATGCCGTCGGAATATGGTCCGAGGTTCACGGGCTCCGTCCGCGCGTTTCAGCAATAATGTCGATGATGGTAAAACAGAATTTCATCAGTCCTACCCAATCAAGCCAAATCCATCTACGTTCAACAGAGTACCTAGTATCTTCAATTTATTAGACTACAGCAGTTGAAATCAGAGAATACGGCAAGAAACTGAAAATATATCACGAACGCAAGAAGACTAAAACAGCCAACAACACGACTTACGGTATGTTCGCGACGCTCTCGTTTCTCGCCCGCCACAAGAAAATGGTGAATACACGCCATGCATACGGTACAACTCGCTAAACGCAAACACAGACATGCACAGGGTGTAAACTCCCCCAACTGCTGGCTGTCTTGTGCCTCTTAAGTTGTTGCTCGTAGATGGTGTTAGACCAGACATAGTGGAGCTGCTGAGGTGAGTTGTGTGTATGAAGGGGTGGTGTGTGTTTTTTGTTGGCGTCGACAGCGTTAACCGGCTGACCAATGAATTGGGGTGGTGGTGTGTGAGTGTGTGTGTTCGGTAGATCTCCCCGGGGCAAGTTGTCCCCGTTTTTTTGCTTTTTTAAGATTTCCGCCCCTACCGTAGAGATATCCCCGGGGATATCTTTGTGGGCAAAAAAAAAAAGATGTCCCCAGGGGATATTTCAGAGGATATCACGGTATTCAGACTATGCGTTCATGCCTAGTTGCTGGTTGAAGTGGTAAACATGAAACGTGAGACGTCCAGGCAGACATGATCGGCGGGCGCGCGGGGCGAGGACGTGGCGATCTCTATCTCGCGTTTTTCATTTCTTAGCGGTTAGACCATTGAAAACGCGTCCTCGAAAGGACGGAGCATTGTTCCCACAGGACCGATCATCGATGACCAATCGTTCGTTCCTACTTGCCAAAGGTGGCTCAAAATTGTGTTCCCTAGTCTACCCTATGGATATTACTTCCCTCCTTTTCAACCCACTTCCTATGTATGTCCCAGCGCAGCTACCCTCTTTTCCTGGCTATTTCATACCTCAAACATATCCCGGTGTCTTCCTTCTACTTTTCCCATCTCAGCCATACACTTTTCCTTTCCTTCTTGTACAACGGACATTCCACACCTACGTAAACCCGGTCTTCGCACTCAAAGCCACTTGCACATTTGAACTTTTCGTCTTCATCGTCTACCTGCTCAAGTCATCGTCTACGTGCTCGAAGGCCAATCAAAGTCCCTGGTCCTCAAGTTAGCCTTTAGCTGTGCCCCTGCATCCATTGGTCCATGTAGGTACTCTTTGCCTTATTCTTCTTCCAACATACGTACATATCAAGACCCTCGTTATCCTTGTTATTTTTCGACTGATTCTGTTCTCTCTCGGCAAAAGCAACAGACATCTTCTCCTTGAACCCCTCTAGACCTTCCGTTTCCAGCGTATCATCTTCGTGAATTTCGAACTCCTTCCATAGGCCATCTACCACCTTGACCCCATCCATGTCTACCTCTTATTATTTGCCCATTTCGCCTCCCAAGCTATTCTCGGCAACCTCTTCTCTCTCATAACACACATGCGGTACTGCCATTTTAGCTTTACTTGCGTCTCTTCCCGATCGTAGGGATTGAATCCCCAGGTCTGCCCTGACGGCTGCAATACTAGTGCACTCGAAGCATCCTAGGATGAATTTCGCTGCTTTCATCTGCGCCTGATTACTTCCTTCCCATACTTCTGCGGCGTACCCCAACGGCGGCACGATGACACTCTTCACAACTGTCAACTTGATGCGTGTGTCGATGCTGGTTTGTGGGTATTGGTGAAGCTTCCCTGCTCGTGCTTTGCCCTTTTCCGCTACCTTGGACATTTGTGCATTTCACGAACAGCATTTTGCAGTCCCTTTTCCGAGACACAGGTACTGATCCACTACTTCAAGCTCCACCTCCCCCATTTCCATCTGTTCTGGTTTTTGGCTGTCCATGTTACATAACATGACGGCACTCTCCAAAACGTCGGCAAACAATCTCCACTTATCAGCAAAATCTTTCTCTCAATCTGCAGTTGATGTCCCTCAGGGATATCAGACGTTCCACCAAAGTCATCCTCAAACAGCATTCCCGACACTTAAGTTTCCCCTACCTTTTATGGCCTCCAAACTGCCTCTAAGACTTTCAATGGATCGTTGATGAACCCCTGGAGCACTCTTGGGGCGAGTAGGTAGGGGTGCGGAAAGAAGAAAAGAGATAACAGAGAGGAGATAAGTGTGAGGCCTGGTACAAACTAGTGGGCAACATTGCGACCGTTGCCACACCTGATCTTCTTGTCTTTCATCCATACAGCAGGCAGTCTTGAGGTCGAAACCGGCCTGAGTGTTAACGGGGTTGAGATACATATCTTCCAGCAACAATGTGCCTGTTGAGGCGCGCAGTGTGAACCTGTTGTTTGGAAACGGTTCCATAGATGATGGCTACGCGCGTTCCTGCAAAAATAAAGTACCCATACTCAACACCACCGTTTAGGGCGACCGCGCAACGAACAGCCCCCAGCATGCATAAAAGAAAGATGCCCAGCTACACGGTTATCGCCGAGACCCTGTGGTAGCGCCCATCTATCAATGCTCGGGATAACCGCAGTGAAAACATTTGTCCTGTTGTCCATGTGACCCACCCTTTCCCCTTTGCCGCTCCCCTTCTTTCGCCGTCGACCACACACGTTCCCTCCTCTCGATACTTCCATTCGAAATACGCAGCGTGTTTGTTGTCGGCTATGTATTTATAGGCGTCGCTTTGGCGGCTACGGCGGGTAGGGAAGGATACTCTTTTCAGGACAAAGGATTTGCCCAAGTGCAGTACATCGTATTGCTGCCGTCGGAAGCGGTGGGCGCCGCCTTGATTGGCGAATATTGGTTGGAGAGCTTACCGCACCAGCTGGTTCCCCCTGGCAGCTTCGCGGAGTGGTTGACAAAGGTTTCGCACAAGCACCACTTGTTCTTGGTTGTTGGGTTTCTCAACGCGGGGACTATATCTACCCTTGGCATCTTGACGCTGTTCATGGCGTTCTGGCCTCCACTGCTGGCGGATTTAGTAGTGGTGTCCGGGTCCTGCATCGCGGTGAGGAACCATTGCTGTTGTCTATATCTCTTCCGATGTTTGTGTGTTCATCATCGCCATATGTTGTATAGCATACATCAGAGCAACCGCATGCCGATTGCTACGCGTTCTGAAGCCGGGGAAGGTATCTGTCCTGACAAATTGAGCATGGAAGGGTTTGAACTGTTAGACAACGGTCAATTTGTTTGGCTTCAGGCACGCGCATACGCCCAGCACCGACTCAGTGCCAGCCACACCACCCGCAACTGTCGGGCCAACATGGCCAAACAGGGAGAACGGAGGGGCTGATCACGAAACAACTCGACAAAACAATAAAACACACGGAATTTCAGGCGTATCTCTTCTTCGCTGAGGTTTTGATTGCCCAACTGCGCACGGGTCCATGACCCCGATGCCTGACAGGCATGCCTGCTGCGGACAGAGGGCAGTATTGGTTGGTAGTGGTCAAAAGACGTTCTCGATAACGCTGTGTCAGGTTTCAGGTTCGCTCTGAAAGCACTGACTTCCCCCACGCTCCTTGCTGCCACCTTCGGACGCCGAAACAACCATTCCTGCACCAAACGTTGGCACGACTAGGGTACAGTTATATTCTTCGTGGCTGTTCGGATCACGAGCTTCATCAACCGCGCTATGTCAGAGGTAGGTGTGGATTTCGAATAATGAGGCAGAAAAACCGAGTTCTAGGCTGCCAGCACACAATGGGTAATTGATACTTTTAGGTAGCGACAGTGTTGAAGCTTCGCAGAAGGCGGCGTCACGGTCTCGAAGAAGGTGCCTGCTTTCTTGATGAATACCTGTGACATTTGGTATTGAGATACGTTAATGGACACGTGCCTGCACACGTTGTGGTTGTTTGAAATCGACGCATCATTTGGCGACTTGATTGATTTTATGCAAGGTCATGTTTTCTGAATTCCTTGGCTCCAGGCATAACTTGGTAATGCTTGGAACCATGATGACAGAAACATTACACGGCACTTCCCGTTGACGTATTCGGCATTGTGGGAAGCCCGACTCAGCACCTGAGCTCCAATTATGCGAGGGTAGCGAAACTCAGGACGAGAAATGCATCTTCTCGAGTAATGACTGACACTGACGGGCCACTTTACGCCGGACGCCTTACTAGCGTCAGACAGCTTGGGTTCTACGATTGCGTGCCCCGGCGTCTCTGAGGATCCTCAAATGGTAAACCGAGTTTAGCCGTCGGCCAAACAACATGTCTCATTCTCTACCTGAGCTCCCGTAAAGCTACCATAAGCGACGAGTGCGAGAAAGCGAGTGTTCGCCAGCGAGTGCGTCGGGCCGGCGCATGCTTGTACTTCAATCCTGCACACAGCCCCGCGTGTGTTTCGATCTATCATGTTGGGCCGGCCGCGCTCCTACCAATAGCTGACAAATCAATCAGCCCCACCTTTGAACAGGCAACACAATGTGACTTCAATGCCCGTGCCTTCCGTTCCTTGAAAGTCCTCCCATCTGCACCAGTATGCAGCTAGCTCGAACGAGTTCTACGGCGTGGCAAAGAAGAACCTCTGGAAACAAGCGCTGGCACTTTGTAGCATCGGTTGCGCCGTGATTCTTGTTATTGCTGTCAGGCATCTCACCCAATTCGGGCGAACGACTCCAATCATATCATGGACTGCTCAGGTTAGTCCTGCCATCAATGTAGCTGTCCAATGCACCCTTTCCGCGTCCGTGAAAACGTCAGCACCCCCACATTGCACCGGTCTTGGATAGATCCGAACCTTGATGAGACTAGAATACCAACATTCACCGTTCTTGCTACCCAAAATACCACGAGCGTTACTGGGGCGGTATCACCAACGACTGCTCTCTTGTGAACTTTGGCAGGCGCTCTGTGGTCATGCGGCTGCGTTCTTATTCATGAGCTCGACACAGTTCCACGCGGCGGCACCATCGATGTCGAGCACCGGCACCAACCATTCGACCCTGATCACCACCATGAGGTCAAGAAGCAAACATCTGATGTCAAGGTTAGACGAGTGTTAACCCTCCAACCCACTTGTTGATTTGTTATGAGCAAGGGCAGTTGCACGTCAACAACCCATCAAAGATTCATACACATACGCACGATACGTAAACAGTGCGAGTAGACGTGAACACTCTCTAGGTAGACCATCGGTTGGTGTAAGGGATAGCGTTGCGGCAGCACCATCGGGTACGCTTTGGCGAGTTGGGACATACGCCCACCAGCCACAAACCAACTCTGTTGGTCGATGACGTTTCGTTTGAGCAGTTTTCGCATGTCGGCCGCAGGTGGTTGTGCGGGCACCTAAATCAAAAGACTACAATGATGCAAAAAACTAGATCGGTCATGTTGCGGTCGCGAGTTGACGTTCTCCCATCAGTCTGTCAAGGTGGACCAGAAGGTTTCCCACACCAGCGCGGGCGTGCGTCGTCAAGATGCTCATGAAATCTTGATGTCTTCTTGAGCGGGGAAATTCGCTAGGCGCTTTAAAATTCAAGAGTTTGATCGGGCACGTAGTCAAGCTGGTAGTCCGCCTAGGGACTAGGTCAAAAGTTGGAATCCGGGCAACGTTTGTACTGCGGTTGTCCGCAAATACAGCACCACTGAACCTTCCCCGGGATAGCACATAGAAGCATGCGCAGCAGAGGTGACCTATTCAGTGTGGCACCGAGCTTGTCACGTAGAGAAGCGGACCTTTCTGCAGGTACTATCGGGGTTTATTTTGATTGCGAAGGGCGTTCTCAAGACACGTGCTTGGGTGCATGAGGACGCGCCGCACTCCTAGCTACCGCCGGTTTCCCAATCTCCTCAACACAGCCCCACTCAGACCATATGTGGTGCGGAACCTCCACCCCAGGTTACACTACGATTTGAGGAAGGAGCATAAAACCGACTCAGTTTGTTGGGCGTTTCGACGAACCTGTCATTGTTGCCAGAAGAGAACAGAAAATTTGGTGGACATTGGGACTGCAACCGCAAAAGAGAACGGATACAACAAAGCGAAACCGGAGAGCAAATGGCAGTTCCTGTTCGACCGCAGGGTAATCTTGGTAGCAAAGCACTAGGGACGCACCTTGGTCTAGTGCGGTTCCCGACATGTTGATCGATTAGTTCGGCGATGAGCAGTTGAAGAGATGAGTAACCTTTGGTTCCTTCCGACGTTTCGACGAAGAATATATGGGTTGTGATGGCAACATGGAATTTTCAGTGATGGTGTGGCATCACGGGAATGGTGAACATCGCGTAATGCTTGTCTCTCCCTCTCCAGCGGCGTACCCGGAGCTGTGGCAGGCGTGGTCATACCCTTCTTAAACCGTCTGCGGTCATGCATGTTTCACCCGGGACGGACCAAGAAATCACACCCGCAATCACGTCCCCGTCAGCAACACAAGGAGGAGCAGCAGGAGGCCATCAACAGCCTTAGCAGTGATCTAGAGGACTACGAGGTCGTGACCTGCACGGCCAAGTCTGAGAGAGTTGCCGAGAAGATCATCAACCACAAAGTCAGCTCAGTTGGTACGAACAAGTCGAGGGTATTGCCGACGCTATGTTAGCATGAGAGAGAACAACGAGCGTCGGGTACATAGTTTCTGAATTTGCAATCAATGTGCTCCTTTGTTTGGGGTGCTCGGCAGAGGACTGATCTACGGGGCCTCCGGCGGTTACATGGTTGATGTGTGTATGATGGATATGATGCGCGGGGCCTCCACATGTCTCTCACTCGTTAATGATACAAGGTCTTGAGTCAACCTTCTTTCTCTTTCGGCCTCTGACGAAGCTGCCGCACCCAAACACCCATCGATAGTGTTGAAGATGAGGTGCTACAGCTACGTGCACAGAATCTCTCTTGCGTATGTTCTAGGTATTGCAGCAACGAGCGGCAGTGGTGTTTATTCGTCAAGGGCACAGAATAAGCCCAAAATAGCAAGAACATACACCTCCGTTCACCCGCCTTCGGCGTCAGCGAATAGGAGCAAACGGGGCAAACGGGACTACACAAGGCAACCATATACTGCTAATTTCTTGAGCGGAGGGATCTCGCGGGTGGCCGCGGAAGATACTCGTAGTGTGTGAGGTGTACCGACGGAGATTCCGGTTAAAAAGAGTTTTATTCGCTTCTCATCGGGTGGTCGTTGAGGTCGTGACCGGTTCCCTAAGCAACACCTTCGAAACCACGTTTCATCACCCGGCTGGATGATCTGATATGGTGTTTGGAGGTAGCCGTGTGGCGGTTAATTGCCATTGTTCATTGTCAATGCTTTTTGGCGCTGCCTCACGCGTTGTGACGTTATGGAGGTGCAGGAGTTCTGCCACATTTTGTGTCCTTGTCGTTCAGTGTGTGGTTCAGCTAGCTTGGCGCTTCGTGGACATGAGCTTCATGATTAAAGGTTACAAGTGATCCCTCCCGTGTGGGCTCATAAGAGCACAGTGCCATCAAGGGGTGACGCAACATGAACAAAAAACAGGCAGCAGGACCAACCCACAGGTGACTGCCAGCTGCTAGCTGAAATGACGTGTCCCAAGCTCAACAGCTCACACAGCTCACGTGTTGTTTATTCTCGAACATGTTCGAGGTAGCGGCATGTGTATCGACAGAAGCGTAGTCTGATTGGATAGTTTGAATGTCGGGACTGTCAAGCTGAAGAGTCGCTGTGTAGCCGCATATTATGAGAATATAGTGGAATGTTCGTGGTCCTTTCTCTCTGGCTGCAGGAATGTTCTCCGTGGATAGTACATTAGCCCGAGGATGTGTGATACGTGTAGGAAAGTGCATTGGTCCGTAGGAAAGTGCATTGGTCCGTTCCATGCATCGGTCCGTGTTCGGTGTATATGCGTGATCGGGCGGATGCCCAAGCGTGATGCTGCTGGGATGCTGTGCACCCACCGAGCTCATTCCACCTTTTGACCTGGTCTCCTGGTCCAAGGTCTCATCAATAAAACGTTCTTTCCCCATAAGCCACGAGTTTACCAACAGAACAGCCCAGTGAACCTCAACGAACAAAAAAGAAAATTATACAAATCCTTGATCGGTCTTAGACTACAGACGGCTCACAACGCAGATCCGAGGTCACGCCTTTTTTGGGGTCGTCCCTCCAGCTAGGGAGGGAAGGTTAGCCTGTCGCGTATCGAACACCCACGACGCACTAGCCTCCCAATTTCCCTCAGCTCCGTCGCTTCGCCCACGTGCTGCTTGTCGCCAGCACCGCCGCCGCCGCCACCACCACCACCACCACGCGTTGTTGCAGAGGACGGGGCCGACCCGTGGCCCTTGTGCTGCCCCGTCGCACTCGAGGACGAGCACAATGCATCGAACGGTCTCGACGGCAACGACAAAGAAGGCGGCGATGGCGAGGAGGCACGACCCGCTGGGGCGGACGACGGCGGAGGCGCCTCCGACCACCTCTCCGGGAACCTGTCGTCGAAGAACGGAACGAGTCCGTTCGCCTCAACGGTAGCACGGAGAGATGGTGAAAACAAGAGCAGGGAGGATTCCAACGAGGATGATGATGATGAGAGGGAGGCGTCGCCCTTCAAGCGGCGTCTTCCGCCCCCTCTTGTCAGCGTGGCATTCCTGGTGGGAGGAATGACCCCTCCCGGGAAGTCGGGGTCGAAAAACTGTCCGCAGAAAACACAGAGCGGCAACCGGTGCAACGCAGACAGCCCGGACGCCTTGCGGTCGAAGCGCTCGCTGGGGGCGCCGGCCATCGCCAAGAAGGTCGCAAGAACTTTCAGGCTGACCGTGGACCCCAGGCTTTCCACGGGGAAGGGGGCCTGGCACAGGCCGCACGGCTTGTAGGCCCGCGTAGGCTCCACGTCGGGCTCCAGGGCGCGCTTGAGAGCTTCCCGCTGCCGCTCCCTCCGCTTGCATACCGCTTCCCCGTAGCCTCTAACAACTTCGTGCCGTGCTTGTGGGCGGAGGAGAGACTTTAGCGCCGCGGCTCCCCCGCCCCGCCGTTTGCTTCTATTCCCCCAGTCGGCGTCGCCGTAGCCGCCGCCGATGCCGACGACGACCGGGCCGCCCGGTCTGCTCGCCACCGCGCCGCCGTGACCATTTGCGCTGGTCGTTGTTGCCGGTGTTCCTTCCCGCCTCCTGCTACCCCTGCTGGCCCCGCTGCTTCCTGCTTCGAAAAGAGCGTCATCTCTGGTGCCCATCGACGACCCGGCTTCGGGCACCGATGTGTCTTCAGCGCTGTACGACCCGGCCGCAACGCTGCTTCCTGTCGTACCGGAGCCGGCCTTCGCCCCCTTCGTTGCTCCTCCTGGTGTCCCCTCAGTCACCCCGATGGACCCGTCCGCTCCAACCACCGCCGGCGCGCTCTCGAACCCTCGGTACTTACCCTTCTGCTGCCGTGCACCCACTTTGACCGTGTCCCGTGGGGGCAGGCGATTGCGACGTCGCGTCAGAAACTCCAGCTTGTCGTCCGTTTTTTCTTCGAACAGTCGAGCGACGGCGGAGGCCGCCAGGAGCCCCGTCCCGCCGTAGACGCTCTCCAGGCAAAGGCCCATCACCCCCAAGAAGCGGTTCCAGTCTAGGCCGAGAGGCCGCTGGGCCTGAGGCAGCCGGGCTTCCGCCCTGGCGAGGGCGTCGGGCAGGGCCTCGATGACGCCTGAAGAGAGCAACTGTTGTTTTTGATACGGATGGGGGTGGTGGTGGTGGTGGGAACAGTCAGCATGAGAGATTTCGGAAGCAAGGATCCGTTGCAACATAGGGCAAACCTTTGACCAGTGCAAGTTTTCAAACCTTTACATTGCCGGAAGAAGACAACGGTTGTATTCCGATACGGGTCGGGGTCGTGGGAAGTGTTGTTATGATAGGTATTAGAAGCAGGGATGAGCTGTTTGACGCTCTGTCGCCTTAAAATAACCGGGGCAGCGGTTGGGGTTGGGACTTTGGGTATGGACACCAGAGTGGTGGTTTAAGCCCTACTCCGCGCGCATACCTGGGTGAGGGGGCCGAGATCGCGCAGAGTTAAACGCAAAACCAGACATCGAGACCAAGGACTTGGGTTACTACGACTAATTCAAACAGCGTTTACTACGCTGCAGCTATTGCCATCACTCCTGGCTACAAAATAGTGACCATCATCTTGCAGGCTCCCCCTCTTCCACGCCCCTGTCTTGAAACCATCATACGTACCTGGAAGAGGTTGGGGCTCTCGCGAACTGCCAGCAGCATCGGTGTCTTCCCTTTCCCTCCAGGGTTCGTTTGCATCTATAACCATGGGTCAGCACGGGTGCAGGTTTGACTTTTCGATGCCACGAATTCCGGGGTACGCTCGGCGAAGGAAACGTCAAGTCAGGCTGAGGAGGTCCTCAGAACAGGCAACGGTTGCTTCCGACTATTCGTCCAGCTTCACAGCAACCTAGTGCCCTGGTTTCAAATACTGATGGAACATGAAGAACGAACATGGAAAAAGACGAAATACCAATCTTTCGCAGGATGCAACCTTTCCCAGGACGAAATCCTTCCCAAAATGCAAATCTTTCCCACCGCTGTAACGCAATGAAGAAACAATATTTAGGAGAGGCAGGGACAGCTCTCACCATTTGTAGTTTTGACCTTCTTCTTACACAGCGCTTGTCGAGCTTCGTGACAGCCCGTTCACTGGTTGAACCTATACAATAATCAAGACGGCTCTGATAGCGTTCTGTTCCTACCATATGCTTCTGCCAAAAGATGGATACCACTTGCCAGCCGTTTCTTTCCGAAGCGCTACAATATTACGTTTTAAGGCTTCAAGAGATCGTGAACCAACGTTAGAGGGGTTCACGAACGCTGTCTATGTGCCCAAGGGGCAGGGGACCCACAAGACCACCTGACAATGTTCTAGATGGGAGGGCCTTGGTACGAAACAACAAACCGATCATTAAATACTCTTAGCGAGTTTGGAACCGCACTCTGTTAACTAGTTTCGTGAAGGCATCGTCTGACCTAACCATGCAAATCTATCGCGACTTGTGACAGGGTACCAACTTATCCCTCAGGATGTGCAACAGCGGTAGGCGCCGTGAATAGTCCATCGCGACGGACGTTCGAAGTGCTGCCGTCATCACAGCACTAGGGTACATCTAGTCTGCTGCAGTCTATGGGCATTTATTTACGACCAACGGTAACTTGTGAAGCCCCGGCATTTTCGGAACTAGAAAACGTTTTCGGGCTGAAGAAGGCCGGCCAGGATGTGACGGGTATGTCGTGGCCTCATCAGCGCAAGAGCCTTCTTGTGCAGAGTACAAAGTGCCGAAGAAATGAAGCGCATACCTGCAGCTGCAAGCGGCGGAGGTCACCGCACAGGTCTCCCGGATCTAGACGGAGCGACTGGTCTGAAACGGTAGCGGTAGCTCTAGCATCGGTGTTGTCCCCAAAAGCGCAGCGGAAGAAAATTTCCTGTGCTCGATGTTGTTCAGGCGGCGAACCACGAAAAACGATGCTTGAGCGATACCTATACAGCTACTGTTGGGTAAAAGGATGTGGCAGGCTCGTGGAAAGCGCCCTCGCGTTGGCGATACCCCTATCACGAGTGAGGATATACGTTATTCCCCGAAAGAATGCACTGCCAACGGTTCAACAGCGATAGCTAGCACCAAACGAGTTTACGGCCACCTCCCCACCGTACCTCGAGAACCACAACATCCTGCTCGGTAAACGCGCCCCGGACGCGTTCGTCCTTGCCGTTGAACTCGTCCACCCAGTCGTATCCGACCATCGCCCTCAGCAGCAGGCGCCGCACATCCTCCCCGGGTAGCCCCTCCGCCCGCCGCCGCCGCCGTCGCTTCTGCCAAGTGGTTGAGCACCTTGCTCCGGCCGCTGAAGAGCTCCTCGCCCCGGCTGCGACAGCGGAGCAAGTTTTTGGCCGGATGTGTCCGAGCCCCCCCGCGGCGGTGGCTGCGACCTCGGCCCTCGGTTCAGAGCTCGAGGGCTCCGCTGCAGATGAAGAATTGGCAGCAGATGCAGGTTCAGCGGCAGCACCGCCACCTCGGTCTTGGTGATAAAAGTGAAGGATCTTCGACTTAAACGTCTTGAGTCCACGTCCATTGTAGTTGCCGTTGTCGTCGTCTTTGTCATTGTCGTTGTCGCCGCCGCCGCCGCCGCCGCCGCCATCGTCGTTGCTGCTGCTGCTGCTGCTGCCGCCGATGGTGTTTTGCTTTGCCAACCTTGTAGTTGATGTCGCCGTGGACCCTTGGGCTGCCGACGCGTCGGAAAACATGCCGTGGTGTTGGCGGTGGTGGGGTAAATAGTTGGAGTCCGTGCGAGCCGCCAGCTGGCGTTGCATGGCATCCTTTGCTTGCTGGGTGCCACCGCCCTTGATGACCTCCACTCTGCAATTGAACGGAAGGGAGTTGGGATCGCGGCGAGAGTTGGGGCAAGCGTGGGCATGAGTTCGGATGTAGGCCTTCACAAGCAGGAAATTTCAACTGCGTGTGACCACTGTCTGTGATATCTGGTGCACAAGAAACATGGTGGCGGAAAACAGTGTTGGCTGCTGACTTGAGTGAGGCGGTACGCTATGTGTGCACATGCTGGACGGGAGGTTCGCACCGAGCTTGTTTGGTCTCTGCTACAAACAAGGCGCATCCCTACTTGATTATTCCACACTGAACGTCGACCTCTAGCTGTTTTGCTGAACAGAAATACGCGTGTCACACATCGTGGAAGCCTCGATGCAGATCTACTAAAGTTAAATATGCATGATAGTCTCACAAACTTCAAAAGGTGGCCAAGTTGTGCGCATTCACATGCAGCTCTTGAATGTTTTCCGTGAACGTATCCCTTTTTTGGCGGGCAAGACCTGTGTTTTTGCACGCCGAACACGATTTTGTCTCCCTCTACAAGCAAAGTCAGAGCAGCAAAGTAGATTACAGTATCTCCCCTCGATTTGCTCAAGGTGGACCTGTGCAGGAATGCCCCCCCCGCGAGCTATTTTCAGTTTGGTTTCGGACCATGTACAGCGCTCACCTCGCGAGCTGGAGGCTCTTGACCCCCTCCGCCTGCACCCGCACAGCCGCGGCGAAGTGATTCACGCCCAGGTTCCACACCGTAACCTTGCCGTGGCTTCCAACCCGCTTCGACGAGATGGCGAGCTGCTTGGCCTCCTCGGGCGCGGCGTCCCCCATCGCGCCGGCGGACGTCATGATCCAGAAGGGGGACACGTCCACGAACGGCGATGCGCCAGCCTTGGTAGCCTCCGTGCGACGGTCTGGGTGGTGCACGCGGATGCACCGCACGGGGAAGGCGCCCCCGAGGTCTATCTCCCACCACGGCTGATTTTCTCGCCGGGTGCGGCTGCACGTGCGCGCCGCGGCCGCCGCCGCGGCCGCAACCTCGTCCGGACACATCTTCGGTGCGGGCAAAGGTGGTGATCGTTTCTGTGGACGCGTGGAACGAGCAGAGGAAAGGGTTTGTTGTACGACAGGCAACGCTGTTGCCGTAGTGGTCTTTGTGGACGCCGACGCCGTTGGGGTGACAGGAGTAGGATCGCCGACGCTAGAGTCGAGAAGGGATTCTCCTTCAGACGGAAAATTTATCAATGCTGCGGGATTGGGAGATCTTGACGGTGTCCCTGCAGATGTACCCCATCCTTCTGCTTCCCCTCGCCGATTTGCCGCGGCAAACCCCCTGCACACGTTGGCGCCCATGCCGTCGGCGGTGCTACTCTGGGAGGCGACGGCTCCCACTTGTCTCGCCAGATCGGTTTCCTTCACGACGAAGCGGTCGTCCGCAATCAGCTCGTCTAAGCGGAAGTTAGCCGCCGACGTTGCCGCACTCTTGAGGCTTCTCGCTTCCTTCCTGTTACTGCTGCTACCATGGCCGCTGTTGTTGGTAGCAGTAGTAGTGCCGTCGCTACTTCCACTGACATCTCGACGCCGACGATGTTGACTCGGTCGCACGCCACTACCAGCCGATGCACTACAGCCACCGGCAGATTTTGTCGCCATCTTCGCCAACGCTGATGTCCCCTTGTCCGGTAGCGGCTTGTTCGATGCCATGTTCTCGAGCGATAGCGACACGTGCTCGTCCGACCGACCAACACCGCACGCCACAAGCTCGCCGCCCTCACCCCCCACCCGACCATCTGCTTCCTTAGAGCAGAAAAACTGGCTACACAGAGCGCAGAGCCGGGCAGGCTCGTACAGATTGCTCGCTGCTGCGTACTTCTTGCTCTTTTCGCCGACCAAGCCCCAGTCCCGTCGCGTTTCCAAGATGCGCTTCATGGTGATCACCCCCGACACGCTCGAGGCCTCAAATTCCATGAGGCACATGTCACACGTGGAGTGGCCGACGAGAAGGTAGGAAGCTTGTGCCTTGTCAGCAGCCAGCTTGGATGTGTTGCTTTGTCCAGTTCCCCCTATTAGCCCTCCGGAAGTGGTGGTGGCCTGCTGTGTTATGGAGGATGTGTCTGCGCGCTGGAGAGGGAACTCTCTGCCGTTGATCTCTACCCTGTCCCAGTGCACGCAGCGCTCCTTTCTCCCCCGCCACCTATTCCTGGCCTCCTCCAGAAGTCCTGTGCTGCTGCCGTTCATCGTTGAAGGCACCTCCTTCTTCTTTACCTTGCCAGCTTCGTTCGGAACGGGCGAACACATGAGCACCTCCGACAGGGCGAGCAGCTTGAGGTGGTGGGGGTGCGCCGGCTCATTTTCATCACCAGTACCGACCGACGATGTTGACCCAAAGCTCTCACCTGAGTCCGACATGTTGCCGCCAACCCCATCTACCCGGGATGCGTTGTCCATCATTGTCATCACCTCCTCGCCCGATTCGAGGGTAATCTACGCAACCAATTTGCCTGTGCTGTCTGAAGCTACAGCAGTGGCAATATGCGAGGCGAAAGTAGTGAGGGATAGGATACTGCCACCCTCGAGTGCCCTTGAGCACTTGAACCGCGACACGCGACTGGTGAGAACATCAACGGGCAGCGCGGACCAACACGGACGTGGCAGCGCATATTGCCCACGTCCCGCGGGTCAACTTCACGGTCCTCGTGGGACAGACCAATGAAAACAATCCACGGACGGTTGTGCCGCGATGCGGAACGATCTCTCCCCCTTCTCTTTTTTTGAAGGAGTTTTTCGAATTAAGGAGAAATAGACTAAATACACGCACAGAAAGACTACCCATTCGAGATGTACCCGCAGTCGAACGGGATGTGGTGGAGTCTTTTCAGTAAGTGGAGGAAAACCGGCTGGGTACTGGACTTATTTCGAGTCTTTTCGAATGTAATTGCCCACGTACTGCTGTAGAGGAACATCGTGTAAATGTCTGTGGGCGCGAGATCCGCAGCCCTTTGAGTCTGCCTGAACAGTTCGGGCAATCGATGTGCGGCGCGATCACGCTCTCCTTCTTCTTCTGTCGAAACGGAACAAGTTTGTCGGTTTCGCGCTTCAGCGCATTGACGGCTGATCAGCCTGTCTCTCTGACTTAGAGAGACCATACAAAGACACCAGCACGTCAGTCGCGAGTTGATAGGGTTTCCAGACGAGCCACACACTCGTCGACACACAAACACACGACGGAGTCACGCAAGATGAGAAAATTAGAGGCACAGACACCCGCAAAATGACCACGTGACGAGAAAACACGCGCTCATCATTCATGTGTTGTTGGGGTGGTGTTGTTCCAATCTGCAGGGCCTCAAGGCAACAGAGATCAGTCACAGGCACGTTGAAGGAACAAAGGAGGGGAGAAAAGGGGTTGGATTGCGCAGTGGTTGCTTGTGCTGGATTGATCGAGGATTATTCTACGAGCTCGGCGTGCGCAAGAGAGGTGAGAAGAGGGTTGGCGTCCTAGTGGGGCAGACTGATATTGATCACTTGAAAACTCTGGCTTCCTGTCCGAGAAGTCACACCGCCTGGTACAGCACTACCCACAGCACAACAGCACACGGGCACGCCCAGAGGAGCAGGGAATCGCGCATATGGAAAATTCATTACCCCCCCCAGGCTGGATTCTAAGAGCCGATCTCGTAACCTTACAATGGGCCTCCTGTTGTGCGCTTTCGCCGCAACGCGGTTATTCCCTCGCGGGCCAAAAACGCGGGGGAAGTTGGCCGAACCGAGGAAACAGCGAGCGGACGCATTAACCCCGCCCCGGGCAAATCAACCGACAAACAGGCAATTGAAATTTGAAAAATGATCATTCAGGTTCGCGCCAGAGAGAGAGAGAGACAAGGGGAGGGACAGGGCAGTGTGTACGTTCGCCGCCGCTGTTGGAGAGCACTTCCCTTTCACCCTTTTTCAACATCTGGGGGTAGGTTCAGCACAAGTACTTCAGGCGTGTTTGTGGTTCTTTCAGCACTTGCACTGCGGTGCTGCAACGTACACATGTATGCATACTAGGTATAGGGGGGTAATGAGCCGCGTGGTGCGACTCAGTACCTTGCAGAGTCTTATCCGCGATGCTGATGGTGCACGAATCCCGACACACACCAGCGTGAATCGTTTGTGGTGCAATTACGCGTGCACCACAGAGGGACAGAAGGCGTGCGACGGGAGCGACGATGATTGTATGTGCGGCCACCGTTCAAAATTTTGCACGTACATGCGGTTGTGTCTTTCCGTTGTGATGCACATACAGTCGTCCCCGCTTTAAGGACGCACATGGTTTTTCCTGAAGAAAAGCGTCCTTAGTTGCGTCCTTCAAATTCAGGGGACGATAGCTCACCATCCCCGGGGCCAANATTACGCGTGCACCACAGAGGGACAGAAGGCGTGCGACGGGAGCGACGATGATTGTATGTGCGGCCACCGTTCAAAATTTTGCACGTACATGCGGTTGTGTCTTTCCGTTGTGATGCACATACAGTCGTCCCCGCTTTAAGGACGCACATGGTTTTTCCTGAAGAAAAGCGTCCTTAGTTGCGTCCTTCAAATTCAGGGGACGATAGCTCACCATCCCCGGGGCCAATGGAGGCATGCTATACCTCAAACTACGCGTCTTTTACCAAGGAAGGGGGTGGTACGAAAATTCAGCATAGCCGAGACGACTAGCAACCGTTTGTTGACGTCGAACATAGTTACAATGATTGAAATGACACGTACAGCAGTCGGGGACGTGACTACCTAGAGTACACCAGTTTGTACTGCATAGCCGGCAGCGGAAGGAGGAGAGTCCAAGTAGACACACACACATATATATATATCATTCTTGTGAAACAAAAAAAACGTGCGTATTTCAGCGTCGCACCGAGGAACACCAGTACCTATCACTGTCCCGGCGGAGACCAAAAGCTACCCTGATGGCTTTTCCTTCCACATGTCGCGAAGAGTTCCCTGAACCTCCCCCCGCGGCTTGGCTCTACGGCCCTGTTGAGTTCATGAGTAAACGAATGAACGGTCTTCGAAAGAAGGTACTGCGTCTCACGGTACTCGCCACCCCTTCCCTTCGCGTACAAATACAGATAGCGCCCGCAGTTAAGAAAAATTCAGTAAGAAAAAAGGCTCAACTTTGTACGAAAAATAACCAAAAAGGGCTAAGAAACATAGCTCAATCTCGGCCACAACGTAAGAAACGCCCCAACAAGAAACGTGATGGTGCGATACCCCCATGACATCAGAACTCTGCGGTGCTCCCACCCCCCTCCCAAGCTGAACAGAAGTGCATTTTTTTTTGTAGGGGGCAGTCCCCCCCCCCCGCCCCCCCGCGCCCCTGCTGTTCACAGTTAGTGCTGTACTGTAGTACTGCCACACATCGCGGACAACCATATGCTCTCCGCTGTTGTACGGGTTTGATGGCACTCTCCACCACCTCTCTTGAGGGAGGGCTTGATGATATGGATTGTCCTCAGAGATCAAAGGACCGAAAAAAGAAGATACGAAGTACTTGTTTTAGTCATGGGAATAAGAGAATCGGGAGGATGCGACAGTCCAAAGGAAGAAGGAATGTCATTACGAAATGGACGACTTGGGCCGGCGCTTCAACCCAATAGAAGGGATTGGTGAGGCTCGAACCGATTTTAACGTTTCTTAACTGCGGACGCTATCTGTAGGATCGAACGTCCTCCAAGCGAGAGGTAGTCTCGCCCTCGGTGAGGGACGAGGTTATGCACGACTCTTTTTTTGGCGGCATCAGATGGACCGCCGGTAGATGGGAGGAATCTATTCCATACCAACACGCAGTTGCAGCTGCAGCAGCAGGCCGCTCGCTACTTCTGCTGTCTGTGCGTCGTCACTGCTGCACTCACTGTGGTGCGTGGTTCGTGCAAAGAGCGGCCCGCAGGCCCGCAGCACACAAAAAGGGGGGTACGCGACAGAAAACATGGCGGTATCCCATTATCGTATATTCTGCCGGGCCCCCGGTGCTCAGCAAAGCAAGTTTCCTTTAAGCGAGGAGTTTTATTAACGCGAGCGTCCTTAAAGCGGGGCCGACTGTACCCGAAGAAACAAAATGTGAAGTCTTTCCGCCGCGCGGACACAAGTAAACACACACGTACGTACATCTGGGTATCTGGAAGAAGCATACATGCGGCACCCCCTGGCGGCGAACGTATTTCACATACATCACACCGTCGAGGAACACGACCAGCAGCGTAGACATGAGATTGTGACACGACAGATGGCTCATATTGCGTCAGGTTCACAACTTTCCCTCCACATTCGTCTCAAGCCTTCCGAGTTTCCCGCCCAAGTGAAAGCAAGCAGTCCAGCATGAACCAAAAACAACAAAAAATCGTGGATGGTCATATGACGTCATGACTTTGATGCGAGAGGCCGAGAGGCCATGCAGGGCTGCAGCAGCAACAACATGCAGGGCACGGCTTTCTTTGCGAAGACAGGCAGCAGCGCGGCGCTAGTACGCAATCTGAACCGATCCCGCGGGGAACCATCCTGATAATGCACAGCAGCAGCAGTAGTAGACCCTCACGCCCTCGACGGATTCTCTCGATGATGGTATAATAGGTGTGATCTGGACTTTTGTGGGAAGGTGTGTTTTTGTGCGATCATTGGTCTGCTCTTTTTGAAGCCGTCGATTGGGCCCACTCAACATCAATGAACACTCGCCGGGTTACACATGGCGCATGCCTACAGTATTCCCACGGTGCACAGGTCGTATAGGCCCGGCCCCTCCTGGTTTTCATAGCTGGTCTCAGACCAGCGTCTCAGCGGTGATGCGCTTGTTGGTGGTGTTCTTGAGTCTCTGTCGGTGCCTCTTGTCCTGGTCTGAATCGCGCGCGCGCGCGATCTCCGCTGTTGTATACACTTTTTCGGGTAGAAACCCCGGGGTTGGGGAGCACAATCTCCTGCGAATATAGGCTACATATGCCGGTAAAGCAAAGCCATCTGCTCTCGGAGCACGACGAAACCGGTGTGGAGAAGAGCGCGCTACTTTTCTTCTTCCTCAATAGCGAGCAGATCGTCAATCGGTGCCCTATAGATCTCGTTCTGGTTCCAAAGGTGTGCTAAATAGGCTTCCCGGAAACCAAGTTTTGGGGCCCTGTATCGCGCGGCGCATTGTTGGCCGATATATAGTCTTTTTTTCCTTCCTGGGGACGAAAGGAAAAAATGTCGCTCGCTTCGCTCGCTCCGTGGCTCATTTTGAGAGAATCAAGGTTGCGCCATCACATGGTTGTGCCGCCGGCAGCCCCTCTCCCCTGCTGCTTCTGGGAACGGGGGACACTACTTTGGAGTAATCCCGCCAAAACGGAGTTATGACGGCGAGATATTCCTCCGCTCCAGCGCGCGCTTGTTCTTGTTCCTAATACAACGAGATGAGCGTTTCATGTGGAAGAGAGAGGAGAAAAAAGACAACGATCAAGAATCTGCTTGAACGAGTGCAAAGAGGGCGCCACCCACTAATTTTAAAGATCTTGTATTGCCTGGAAGCCCGTTTCTTTTTCTTTTTTTCTGTGGGTTATCCCGGCATCAACCGTGAAAATAGTTGTGAGTGTGTA